AGTAGGAAAACACACAGATTGCCAAACTGAGGAGATGCACACAGCACACGGCACACAGCAGAGTGGAATATCCCAAGGACTCAGGGATCCTGAGCATCCTGTGAGAGACTCATGTGTGTCACAGACTCATTCCAATCTCTGTACAGACTAAATTTGAGAACAGCAATGCCGTTCCAAAACGATGCCTCATTTCTGGGTACTGTGTGAGTGTACATTTCCCAGGAGCCCTCTAAGGCAAGAACCCTGAATGGCAGCTGGACCTTCCACCACTTTGTCCAAGGACCAACCAAGCTTCTGAGCCTTTCTCATAGCACAGTTCACCACTGACAGAGATGATGTAGGTCCTCCCCCTCTCTAATTAAAGAGGAGGCAGCTGTGCTGCCAGCAGACAACATGTGCTCAGAGAATACTTCCAGGAGCTGGTCAGCAAACACACTGGGTACCAGAACCTCAATCATCTGGAGGGATTTCACATGTTCTTCACAGGGGAGGCAGAGAGACAAACAGAAAGCACAAGACAAAAATGAAGCAATTATGCGCTTACATGTGGCATAAGCAGGGTACGTGAGAGACACGGGCAGCTTATCCAGCGCCTGTAAACTTTATTCTTATTTTAGCTAAATGTTATACACCATTCAACAGCATGGCAGGAGAAGAGAATAGTGAGGTCATCCAAACTGTTAATAAATTAGGGGGAAATTCCGGGGGGGGGGGTAGGGGAGTGGTTGCTATGACTGTTCTTTGCATGAACTTGGGTGAGCTATTTGGTGTTTCAATATCTCCGTTCAGCACATATTAAAGTATGTTGATAATCCAGCCTCGCATCTTTCGCTGAGGGCTGGGCCAGTCTTACAAAAACTGGTCCATAAAAGTTACTCATCCACAAACGATTTTCCTGCCTTGCCTGCTTGCACCCACATTAGCTGTCTCCATTCTAAATGAAAGAAGACAATCTTCCTCAACACCACAGATGAGAAGCTGCTTGCAAGCACAGATTGAGAGAAGAAACACGTGAAGGTTTAAGAAATCATCAGAATTTCTTGGTGACGGGGGGGGATACTCCTTGGGAGCACACTCCTCGGGATGAAGTCACCCAAGAAGAGGCCAGCCCGCTAACCACTTGAGTGTGTCTGCCAAGAGACCTGGGTTGTTAAAATTCCGCACCCTGGTTGCACTGCAGCTCTAGCGTTTTGTTTTTGTGAGGCCTAGAGGATTTCTCTGTAGCAAAACCTGTAATATGTTTTAGTGCCATATTGTGGATATCAATACAAACCCCACTAGCATTTCCTCATCCATGGTGTACCAAAATGCAGTATTAAGGGAGGGATCATGGTCATTTTCTCTTCCCATTGCTTTAAAATATTTGTGTGTTTTTAAAAGGCTGAGACAAGAATCCAAAACGGTTAAAGCTCTGCCTATCCCTTCAGCTGAAGTGCCACATTGGCACCTAACTCATTGTTAAGCCCGGAGGGGTAGTGTAGTGGAGGCAGGCTGTGGAAATGGCAGGGGAGCAGACAATTGGATGATTATTAGACTGGTGAAGGAAGGAAGGCTTTGGGCAGGCTTATATAAATCACTTGAGTGAAAAATGGGCAATTTCTCTTTCTTTTTTTCCAGAGGCAGACAAGAAACGAGTAAAAGTAAATTAACTGAGGGGCAATTGATTTAAGAGGATCTGACAGGAAAAATTATTGAGGAAAACAAACTGAAGGGAATTAAGAAAAAAGGAATATACATCTCTCAGATTGAAAGAACTCAACACTGCTTGGCTAGGCAGGGGATGAATTTGCTTGGCATTGATTGTGCAGGAACCAATTAAAAGGTGCCCAAGATACTGCAGCCACTCCCTATGCCAAGATGTAGAGGAAGACTTGCTCTTGCTAATATCAAGCAACCTCACATCATGATCTCAGTTCTGGGAAATCAATAAAACCAGTATTAGCAGGGACATCACCGTGTAAACAGCAGAATTCGCAACTGATGAATGATCCTCCCTATGAGTCTCACTCTCTCTAGGAGCACCCACACACAACAGCCTTAACCCTCTAGCTCTGGAAGTATACAAAGTCCAGAAATGAAATGAGCTTGCTCCAATCTGGAGTGTCTCATCTATATGGGGTTACGAGGGGACAGCTGCACTCCTTAGGGGCACATTAGCATCCTAAACCACAACAGTCTACTGGGGCCTGTTCTCCATCTCCCGTCCTTCCAGCTCTTACAGTTCCACTAATGACCATGCTAAATGAAGAGCCACCTCTTTCCTACCTGGTTTGGACAATGGCATGACCCGTGGAAAATGACGTCGGGATGGTCTTAGGGGGCTGTAAAAAAAAGGAACACCAATTAAATAAAGGTGACACAGAGAGAATAAGGATGAATCAATCCCTGTGGGCCCAGTGTACACCTCAGTGGCAGTCAGTGTAGTCTGGGCTTTGAAAAGAGAAAACTGGGTTCAAGTCTCTCCTTATCTATGAAACTCACTGGATGGGCATAGGCCAGTCACTTCTCAGTCTAACCTACCAAACAAGGTTGTTGTGAGGATAAAATCAGGACGGATGTACATGCCTCCCTAAGAACCTTGGAGGAAAGGCAGGATAGAGAGAGAATGATAGTTTTCCCCAAGCTACATTGATAAGTGCCAGTACCAGACCACTTGACTGCGAACTCAGGGGTTACAGGGCAATTGTCTTCACCCATCCAAGAATCAAGACTAACCCAGGTTTTTGGCGGCTCATTCACACATAGCCCTGACTGGCCACCTGACTAGTTTACATCAGGCTCTTATGGTTGCCTGGGCCAAGACCTGCATAAGTTTATCGATGCAAAACCATTATGTGCCCATTATCTAAGTTACATTTAGCTAAACAAGAGCCAGTGAGAAAAACAATTCTGTGTGGGTATCGCTTGTCATGCAGATGATACATACCTGAGGACATCCTTGCAGAGAGGGGGGAAAGGATGCTGCTGGTAGTGTCCAAATACTTCAAAGACAATTGGCTGGCTCTTAATGTACTCAATGAAAGATTTAGTCACCTCCACTGCAATCTGAATGACAAGACAGATGGGGTTAAGAACACTTACCAAAGAAGTGTAAGTTGAAACATTGACTGAATAGTCAAAGCTTGCTAGAGCAGGTCGCACACTACTTAGCGTTCACTTGAGCTCTGAACTAGGAAAACCGAACACTTAACTTTTGAGTATGTGTCTTTTATTAGGATGCTAGCTTTAGGCAGAGTTATTACTGAACTGTTAATAAATAAGCTTATTTATTAGCAACTTCTACCATTGAATAATAATATTTTTGTACCAAACAGACTCATTTCCACACTTCCTTAGAGTTCTTCATACATCCCATCCCACTTCACTAGAAACCAAAGCCATTGTAATCACAGGTCTTAAAACAAGCTACTTTCTCTTTCTAAAGTCCTAGAAACAGCATAAAAAGTTTCTGGGCAGAAAAGTGTGCACAGACAACTGCATCTAGTAAAAGGCAACATGATCTTAGAAGAGTCCAAATCTCAAACCTGCCATAGAGTCAATGTGCAGTTTTTGGGAAGTCATTATCTTTCAGTATTATCTGCTTGATGGAAATAATGTTGACCGCCTATTGCATAGATGTGTTGTGATGGTACCATAAATTTAAAACAGCAAATCAAGAAGAAAATACACAGGTTTCAACAGAGCAAAAACCTCTTCCAGCAAACCAGTCATGAGGAAGGATAAAAGCCATATCTAAGAATACTGAGTCAGCAAAAAACTCCACCTCCTTGAACGCATTCATAAACATCAGTACAGGGTGGGTTGGCCATCAAGGCCACTGGGATGGCCGGGGGTGGGGGGCTCTCCCTTCCACTGGGACAGCCCCATGTAGGGTTGCCAGCCTCTAGTTAGAGCCTGAAAATCTTCCAGAAATACAACTGTTCTCCAGACAACATAGATCAGTTCCCTTGGAAAAAAATTCTGCTTTAGAGGGTGGACTCTGTAGCACTATACCCTGCTGAGATCCCTCCCCTCTTCAAACCCTTCCCTCCCCATCAAATCCGCAGGAATTTCCTGCTCCCTTTGCAGGGGTCACCAGCTCACAGTGGCCGGGCGTAAGAAGTCATCAAAAAGCAGCAGCTTCAAAAGTTGTACTAACATTTTGAACATGGTAGAATCCAAGAGGTGGCCCTCGTCCTGTGTTCTTCAAGGGTTCTGTAGAGAAGGCCTCATCATGGCGGTGGATGAAACTGTAAGAAGATACAGATTCTCTTATTGTTGTTAAAGACATTATTCCTAGTCTTCTGGTGTTAGATTCTGTTTGCATATAACTTCATTATGTATAAAGATTTGTTTAGAATGTTGTTCCTAGTAGGTTTCTAATACAGTGGGAATTATTTTCCTGTTGGAGAATTTTTATTTTCATTTATTTATTCACAAAACATATATCTCACATTTCCATCTAATCAAACCAATAAAAATGTTAAACAGAAGCAGCACAAAATACAAAATGTATGACTAAAACTATTAAAAGACATCAGAGAAAAACAAAAAACAGGGCAAGGTCTTAAAAATCCTTAAAAACACATCATAAAAGCAGAGAGTAAACAAAACAACTGTGGGGTAAAAAGAGATGGCTAATCAATCAATTTACAATCCTAGGTCAGCCAACAAAAATATATTCAACAGAGTCAATAGCACATAGCATTAATCTAACTTTCATGAAACATGGATATTTAATAAAAATATTTGACCAAATGCTTTCCTATTAAACAGGACAAAGCACAGAATTTGGCTAACTTAAGAGTGGATTCATTGGAATGATCTGACAGGAGAATGGACACATAAAATTTGCCAGATCTGCCTGGAAAATTGGATAAGATTGGGGCGATACATAATGCACGAATGTCCTTACAAAGTAAACAGAGCGATAGCACATGCTTAGCTCTTTCAACTGCATTTGATTGGCAACAACAAACATGCTGAGCAGGCCCATAGCCATGGGGGGGCTGATGAGGATGACACCCCCCAAGAATATACCCAGCCCTCTCAGATAGGGAGAGGGGCGGGCTCGCTGGGTCTTCCTGCTTCCATAGCCTTTGAGAAGCTGTCCGTGGAAGTAGGTAGACTGGGCGAGGCCATGCAGCAGTTGCCCTCCTCACTCCTCTTCGATGGGAGCCTGAGTCGCTCAAGTCCCCTCGAGGCTCAGGCGCCCATCAGAGTGAGCAAGCCGCTGCACGGATGGAGCTGCCCCCAATTTGACCCCCTAACAAAACATTTCTGGCCACGGGGCTGATGCTGAGCATCAGGAATATGTAAGATGACTAATAAAATTCCTCAAGGCAGTAGAAAATCTCTAAAACACATGACAGAAAAGCAAAGTGGCTAATAAAACTACATCAGGGAGGGAAGAATTTTTTTAAAAAATCCGGGAGAATAAATTGTAAATTGGGTGCCAAGCAAACGTCTGTGGGAGGGAGTGCCACAGCTTAGCCACACATACCGAGTGCTCACTCACCTAGCCTCTGATAGTGGGGGCCAACCAAGCAGGGTCTGAGACTGAGATCTCAATAGGTGGGTAGGCGCATAGGGGAGAAGGCAGACTTTCAGTTACCCTTTGGTCATTGATACCCCAACTCCATGTAATAAGGATTGGCAGGTCAGGATAAATCTGCAGGTCCCCTCAAAGTGCCACCCTCTTTTTCCACAGTAGTCAATGGCTCCCATCAAGCCATCGACTTCTGTAACTGGAAAGACTGCTGAGGTTGGGGCAGAGTCATCAGTATCTGAGCAACAGTGGAGGCTGGGGGACAGCAACTGTAACTGTGCTACCTGCTGCAGCTTCTTTTCATTCTCCTATATAAATCAAAGGGACATGCCTAAACAAATCAGCTCCAATACAAATCAATTAACCTTTTGGAGGGCAAATTGCGTATACACATACACACTGCCGGTCTTACTGATGGGCGCTTTATTAGCACTGATAATAAAACCTATCTCAGTCACATAAAGCCCCACTATTGTGAATGGCCAAGCATGGCTGCTATAATGATACAAAAGAAGAAGTGAAGTTTTGCCCCACAGAGGGGCACATGACTAAATGAGCAACTGCAGAACTTGAACTTGTAGACTGTTAGTGGAATCTTAAGCAGCAGAGTTATATCCTTCAGTGACTTAGAAGGGTTAAACTCCGCTTAGGACTGCAGTATATAACATGCAGTGTTGCTGCATACGTGCAGATTGCTCTATGTCAATGCACAGTGGGTTGCCACTGTTAGTTTACTTCCCAGTGTACATACATGTGTCAGATGCAAACAGATATGGCACAATAAGCTACATACAAAGGAATGTAAAAGAGTATACAAGGGAACATAAAAGAATATTGATATCTTGGATTGTTTTGGTGATACTGAGGCGATTTTCTGTAAGAAGTTATTGTTTAATCATGGCATATGTGTTCATTGCCTATTTTTATTATATTGTTTGATATTGCTTTTATTGACATTTTGAATTGTTTTGTCTTCTTATTTACACTCAGTACACAGTTTTCTGGGAGAATGGTGGTCTTTTAATTTTTGGAAATAAATAAATAAATATAAATATATATATACACACAAATTTGTTAGTTTATGAAGTCCACCCCACCCAATCTGTTTATAGTTTCACTTTAAGTAACAAAAGTTTGTTGCTTGCCATTTCCTATTGTTGGTGCATAAACAGATGTGACAAAGATTACTAAATCCCAGCAGTATATAAAAGATAATTCAGACTAGGAGTACATGGGAAGGAAATTTAACCCTACATATCCTGCTCTGTTTTTCTAATTGAGAGTACATTCCCCTAATTGTTATTGCCATTTTACAAAGAAAAGAAGATGGGGGTTTAATGTCTTTTTCCCCTTTAAAATGATAACCACAGTGGCAGGAAGACCAATTTCCATTAGCAAAACCAAGCAGAGGCTGGAGCGTCACATCCCATTTCCTCTCCCTTCATGACCCCAGTCTTAATCATGGCTGCACATAGACTTTTTATGGATAGACAGAGATCTGTGCTTATTGTCATGTCTGTGTGCCCCCTTAGCCCTTATGTAGCACACTCTGCAGCTATCACATGGAAACAACGTGAAATTGCATTAGCAGCTAGTCAAACATGACACTAACAAAGCAGGAGTAAAATGGTAACAGAAGATGAGAAGATTCGGTGCAAGGGATCTCAGACTGGAATGGACAGGATCCTTGCCACGTGTGATCAGGCATTTGTCTTTGGAGCAAGCAAGCACATGCTCTCTAAGGACAGAGCCAAAGCCCTCTCAGTTTCCTCCAGTAAGTACCAAGGCTCCTGTTGATTTTTCTTCCTATACAAAATTTAGGTACTTTATGTTCCAGACTACACCTTTCACACCTTTAAATATTAGAACAATTGTGATAGACCACAACTCTGTTAAGCCAGGGGAGGATGAGATAGACTAATGAACTACAGAAGGAGGAGCAAGCACATTCTCTTAAGCAACCTCTGCTTCCACCTTGAAATTCTCTGCCCTTGTTAAAGTATAAAAGAGAATGAAGGACTGTGTCTTACTTAAACTGGCAGAAGATGTCTGCATATTCTGCTGAAATGCTGGATGCCTGCAGAACAGTCACTCTGAAAGTGAAGATGCTACCCAACTTCAGGTGTTCCAGGGCTGTCTCTAAAGGCCCATCCATAGCAGATTTTTCTGAACTGTCCAGAAGAAGATCCTCTGGAGTGGCTGAAGAAACATAATCACAAAGATGCAAGCAATATGTATAAGTACCATGTTTTATATCCTGGGTGGTACTACACAGCACAGTAACCTGCTCAGGAAATCCTGGGCACGGAGAGAAAAAAACATTGCTCATTCTAACACCCTTGTATATACCAAGTGCTGAATCTCATACTAGAAAAAGTACTTTTGGCAAGCACAATTGAGTTGCCATATCCTAACATTCTTATGTAAAGAAGTTATAAGGATAAAAAGAAACTGGGTAGTAGATTTTTCACTGCTGAGGCCAGAGTCTTATATTACTTTTGATAATATAGAAATCAATGGTCCTGCTAAGAAAAAGCATATAGAGCATAATTCATGACTGGTTGCATACGTGCTGCCCCTTTCCCATTACACACACTGGGGAGCCAAAACATGTAATATTTTTTTAAAGAAAAAACTGTTTCATCAGTCATTTGCTCCACTGCCTGACTGTGTAGATAGAAACCAGTCAACAAAGTCACTTTTCCAGTTTTCCATATGGGGAGATCCAGTTAGTGGCTCAAAACTTTTCAGTACTATGCACACAGCTCCCCATCCCCTTCATGGCCCCAGTGACTCCTCACCTGCACAGGTGTTGTTGTTGACTTCATCTGCTGATGGACCCATGTCAGTTATTTGCCCCTGTCCCTCTACAATGCGCAACTCCTCCTGAGAGGTTCCAGAACGGGACATTCCCACCACAGGACAGGACTCAGATTGGAACTATAAGGAATCAAAGAAAAGGGATAAAATACAAATGAAACACTTGAAGGTATGAATGGCATTATTAGTTTCTTCTTTCAGTGGTGTATTTTTCACTTCTCCTTTTTAACAAGGAAATACGACCAATACAAAGCCAAGATCCAACAGCAAATTGACACCAGATTCAAGGAGTGAGGGTCTTGTATAGAGCTTTGTATTTACCTTCGTGAATAAGAATGATATAAATTTGTAGCATCAGTGTTGTGTATTTTATTTAAAATGAAGCACCAGCTTCCCCCTCCCTTCTCCAACACAACTAGCGGACCATTGCTGTTCAAGACTGCAGATGTTTCTAGAATTGGTTGCCATTTCACACAAATAAAACAAACCAGTTAACTCGGATTTCTATATGTTACATGTGTTGGCAGAGTTTAAATATGCAAAGAAGTGGAGCACTGACTGTTTAGAGAAAAATAAGTCAGTTTATTAAAGAAGAACAAACTCTTAAAGAGCGTAGAAGAGAGAGAACCTTAACTGTCTAACCTAACTGCTGAAGGAATCACAACAACAAGAAGGAAGCTCTGCAGGAGCAGGAAGTCTCCAGATAGGGTTGCCATTCCTTTGATGGGGGTGGGGGGTTTAGCCACTTTCAGCCCCCCCCCCCTGATTCACCACCTCTGAGCTGGCTGGCGGGGGTAACCCCATCCCCCAAGAGCCCCATCCTCACCAATGTGCCTGGCGCAATGATGTCACCCAGAAGTGACATCATCGTGCAGGGCACGTTGCGGGGAGACGCTCTAGCATAGAGTTTCCCCCCAAATGCTAGAGTGTCCCCCCACAACATACCCTGCACGATGATGTTCCTTCTGGGTGACATCATTGTGGTGTATGCACTTTGCGTGCATGCCAAAAACTCCAGGACAAGGAGAGGGACCCCCCCCCCAATGGCAGCCAGGTAAGACCTGGCAACCCTATCTCTAGAAGAACCAATCAGGAGGCAGCAAGGACATAAATTGAAATTGTGGGCAGTCTCTAATCTAGTTATGCTAACTACCAGTCCTTCAGCTGTCCCCCTGTAGGGTGATCTTTAGATCTCCTTCATAAGGCTGCACTATAGACCTTGCATATTCCAACAGCATGTAACTGGCTGCAAAGTTAAGCTATATATTGCTTAATGTTGGGCCTACAATGTTATTATGTATTGCTTAACATTGGCCTACAAAACAACTGGATGGATGCCAAATAAATGCTCAGGGAAGTTTAGAACTGTAGAGATAGGAACACTTAGTGTTACTGAAAATAATCCCTCCCATTTCACCACACTTCTAGTTCTGAATTTGCATAATGAAGAGAATCATTTATAAGCAGCTGGGTACAGTCAAGGCATGCCATGTTAGCAACTCTAGGGGATGAGGTACAGTCACCATTGACTTTCCTTCCATACCTTCTCAAAGTGCTGATCATCAAAAGATATTTTGGCTGTTCCAGACTGCCGGACTCCTGAGCCATAATCTGGTGCTTCTTCATCCGCTGGAAACAGAAATGCAGTGAGAAGTTTTAGCTGGGAAAGAAAAGCTCACTGTTCCCAATAGGCTGAGAACCAAAGCCACAGTCCTTTAAGGTCTGACGTTTTCCAGACGTACCAGTTTGTATGGTTAAACCTAGACCTCCTGCCATCATTGAATGTATATTTATTTTATTTAAAATGTTTCTCTTCCACTTTTCCACCCAAATAGGTTCTCCAAAGGTGACAAGCATTAAACTAAATATTAAAATATTTCAACATCAAGACCAGAAAACAGCAGTTAAAAATATACGTGTGTATAAAACACTTAAACAATTCAATAACTCATATAAACATGAAAACACATATAACAATACAACCGGGGGAAACCAATAACAGTGGGGGAATGCCAAACAAAACAAAAAAAGTCTTTATCGGCTGGCAGAAGACAACAATAGAGGGAGACAGACAAATCTCCCTTCCTGGGGAGGGAGTTCCAAAGTTTCAGTGCCACAGCCAAGAAGCTCCTTTCTTGGTAGGCCTGCCAGGTCCGAGTTGGGAGATACCTGGAGATTTGGGGTGTGGAGCCTGAGGAGGGCGGGATTTGGGGAGGAGCTTCAATGGGGTACAATGCCATAGAGTCCACCTTCCAAAGTGGCCATTTTCTCCAGGTGAACTGATCTCTGTCACCTGGATATCAACTGTAATCCCAGGAGATTTCTAGCTACCACCTGGACGTTAAGAACATAAGAACATAAGAGACGCCAATGTTGGATCAGGCCAAAGGCCCATCCAGTCCAACACTCTGTGTCACACAGTGGCCAGAGATACCAGTGCCATCAGGAGGTCCATCAGTGGGGCCAGGACATTAGAAGCGCTCCCACTGTTGACCCCCCCCCAAGCACCAAGATGACAGAGCATCACTTGCCCCAGAGCTCCTTATCTATACCGTGTGGCTAATAGCCACTGATGGACCTCTGCTCCATATGCTTATCTAATTCCCTTTTGAAGCCGTCCATGCTTGTAGCCGCCACCACTTCCTGTGGCAGTGAATTCCATGTGTGAATCACTCTTTGGGTGAAGAAGTACTTCCTTTTATCCGTTCTAACCCGACCGCTCTGCAGTTTCATGGAGTGCCCACGAGTTCTTGTATTGTGAGAAAGGGAGAAAAGTACCTCTTTCTCTACCTGCTCTTTCCCATGCATAATCTTATAAACCTTGATCATGTAACGTTGGCAGTTCTATCTCTTGGGTTGTCAGCTATCTAGCCTCAGGTGATGGGGGCACCCCAAGCAGGGCCTCTAACAATGATCAGGGTGGATGGATAGGTTCATATGGGAGCAGGCTGTCCTTAAAGTAGGCTGGCTCCAAGCCATACAGGGCTTTTAAAGGTCAACACCAGCACCTTGAACTGGGCTTGGAAGCAAATGGGAAGAAGCCAGTGCAGATGGAATAAGACTGGAGCGATATGGTCCCTATGACCCATTGCAGTCAATATTCTGACAGCAGCCAATAAAGTAAAGTTACATAGTGACACTTTAGCCTCTTGGCTGCTAACGAATAGAAGATGTACATTCAATGGCATCTTGTTGTCTGGTTAGACCCCTTGTTGCCATTGAATGTGCCTCTTCTACTAGATATACCTACAAATGTACACATGGAAAATGCCACATGTAGTTACTCCTAAGGTTTAACAGGCAACCTTTTCATATGCTACTGTGACAACAAGGCAGCCCTGAGCAGCCATGCAGGGTAAATACAAACACCCACCACGGTAGCATCAGGACTGATACTGACCTCAGATGAGTATGCACATGGTTAAACTAATTATCTGGGTGGTTCACCCTGTGTCTAAAAGCATCAGCTGGCCTACAATGAAGGAAATTTTAGACGTAGGGCTGTCTGGTGGTCTGTATGCATTTTGAATCATCCAAATGAGGAGGAAATCAGCAAAGGTACCATCTGTTTGCATGGTTCAAGTTGGCGGGAAATGCCTCTGCTAAAACTGAGCCTGATACAGCAATGTATGGAGACCAGGGGTATGCATTCAGATATCCCTAAACCAAAATTAAACCCCAAATTAGCTGGTTTTGGTTGGCTTGTGGAGATCCAAAATGACGCAAAACATTCATGAAGTTCTGAAAGTAACAAAAATTTACCTTCTGGAATTTCAGGAGAGTTTCGGCTCGGGGAGATACAGGAGCAGGGAAGGAGAGACAGGACACTCTGCCCATAAGCCATTAGTGGGCATTTTGCCTTGCTTTAAATTTTAAAGTGCCATTATTTTCTGTGGGAAGTCCTGGCTTACACTCACTAACAAGTGATGCCAGCTAACAGTTGATAGTGGTGGCCAGGACTTCTGGCCATTATTCCCTATGTCCTTTTAGTTTGAAAGCTAAAGGAAGGACTGGGCCAGTCCCAGGCTTTCCTGGCTAGCATTGGCCCTGCTGGTGGCTCTGGGGTTGCAGTGCAGTCCTGTTGCCCAGTTAAAGTCCCTGCTGCCAGCACTAGAGGCAGCAAAGCCTGCCCCCACCACTGGAAAACAGTGGACAGGCAGACAGGTGGGCTCTTAGACTCCCGGAGGCTTGGCTATTTCCCAGCAGTGAGGGCAGGCTCTGCCACCTCTGATGCCAGAAGCAGGGACTTTAAAAAGGAGAAAGAACTGCACTGTAGCTCAGGAGCTGCCAGTGGGGCCAATATCAGCCAGGTAAGACTGGGGCTGGTTTGGTCCTTCCTTTAGCTTTTAAACTAAAAGGACATATGGGGGGGGGGGGCAGACCTAGCCTCCAAAAGCCAGGACTTACCATTGAAAATAACAGCCAAAGAGATGAGAGATGCCCAATAACATCTGATGGTGGAGGGGCCACCGCCCCGCCCCCCGTCTTCCTCCTGCCCTATTCCTTCTGCATGGAGGTGGGAGGAAATGGATCCTGAAAACTGTTTTAATTTGGGGTTGGGTTTTTTAAAGGGCATGATTTTTCGGTGCCAAAATTCCAGAACCCCAAAACAGTGCCTCTCTCAAATGACAAAAACCACACATTGGCACATCAAAAATTAGGGCCTTTAAAAAAAACCTGACTCAAGATTAAAACAGAGAGAGAAATTCTGCTAATCCAGGTCTCTGCCATCCTGTTGGCCAAGACTGTCTATCCTGGTTTTTCTCCCAGCTCCCTACCCTGCCATTTAACTTGGCACAGAAGGTGACTGCACATTCAGGAAATCCAGATGGCTTGAGCTTATTTATTTTATTGTTTGACAGAAAAATTCTGCAGCATATGCTTATACAATTGTACTACAGTACTATTCTAGTACAATGGGAATGTGAACGTATACATTTCACGAAAAGATTCTTAGACAAAAATATAAACAGCAGGTAAGCATCTTTTAAAATATTAATAAAAAGGCAATCTAAAATCCCCATCCTAAAGATCCACAAAGCTGGCATTGAAAAGAAGACACACCTAAAGGCTCATGGCTGTCTTTTGGACATAGGACAACTATTTAGACACAGTCTCTTTTCTAAAATAGCAGGCAATTGCTTCAGTAGTCACACACACACTCAGTACAAGCTCTATGACCTAACAATGTGCAAGCAAGGGTTTTGGTAAACTGCAGCACAGACTAACATCTTTAGTCCTTGAATGATGCACAGACTGCTTACATCGATTCAGATACCCATACCAGTGGCAGGTTCCATTACAAAACGTCATGCTTGGCATAGAAGATGGAGGCTGAATCATCCAGAAATTAGCTTTCACTAATGAGAAACTGCAGCTGTTTGATGGAGAATAGGTGCAGCAAGGTGAGCTGTGAAACAGCATGATGCTTGTTTGAAGCACTTTCAGGAAGTATCAATTGGAGCAGCATGGGAAATAAAATTTGGAACTGTAACAATCCACAATTGCAAAGCATATATATTAATACATGCATTCCTCTAGATCAGAGTAGGTCCTTCTGATGCAAGGGCGTAGAGGAAACAGATTCAGATCAGCGGTTTGTGCACTTAGAGCACAAACTGTGTACACACCAGTTACATTACGCAACTGTACTAGGATCATTTCACACAGTGGCTCAGCTCCTGGCCAAAACTACTTCCATATTAAGCAGAATCAATATGGGGGCCATGTTTGTAAGTAGCTTACCATCTGGATTGGTCCAATTGCATTAAACAGCCATTAAAGCTCCTGAAGTTCTTGGAGGGCAATGGCATGGCTTATGTGGTAAGCTGCTTATAAATGTTGTGCTACACCCCACTCTACTCTACTCCATGCCAGGCATGGAGCCCCCACCATTCAGCAGCAGTTTTGGATGGCAGCTGTGATACCTACACTACATGCCACTTGGAGCAACCCCTGTGATAGCAACTAATACAGAGTAAGAACATGTACTCAAGAGAGATCACTGGAGTGCTGCTAAAGGGAAAACTGATAACCGAAGCATGGCCATTTAGTTGTAGAGTGTTTCACATGTCTTGAAGTGATAAGTGGAGTGATAATGTAAGTGGTGGAGGGCATCAGGCATCCCAGGAGGTCAAACTCCCAAGAGCTTCTCAATTGGCTCCTCAACATGAATTTTGAATCATGACCATACCCACTGTTGTATTTCGGATTTTTTCCCCACACAAACAAGGCTCGTTCACATGTGCATATTCATGGAAAGAGATTTGCATGTGTGAATAAGCCAATCAGTGATCAACTGTCAAAGATGGACCTTTCATACCACCTCTCCTTTCCTCATATACAACGCTATTCAACAGAGTCACATTCAGCTGTGACCTGTCCAATGCTGAGTAATCAGATACCTGTGTCACTCAATTGTTGATTCACACATCACCTCTTCCTCTCCTGTGTGACCAGTGAGAAAAGCTTTGGTAGAGCCTTCCATTTATTATGCACTACAGTTGTGTCTTCTGACAATCTGTCAAAGGGCTCTCTTACCACTGTCCTCTAGCTTCATATTAAAAATGAGTTTCTCACCAGGGGTTATAGAGATTGCCTGTAAAAGAATGACCAGAACTTCACCTTCCACTGCCTTCATCTCTTACCTGAAATAGCCTGAACAGCCACACGCAGGAATCCTTTAACTTCCCCCTTCTCACTGACAATGGCAACACGGTGGACCAGAGGCACAGGGTACAACAAGTTGCTGAGATACACAAAGGCTCTGGAAGGAAAAGTAACATAGGAGAGTGGTCACTGCGCCTCATGAATGAGCTTCTCCAAACATACTCCATAGCCGATGGCAGCTGGGACCACAGTTCACCGCTCACATCACAACATGGCGCTGCAAAGCAAAACTAAAGAAAGGCAGCCACGGCCAGCCGGACAGAGGGGGGACTCAGCGTGCTTAGAGCAGAGATCCTGTACTGAGCAGTGAAGCGAAAGCATAGCGAGTTAGTGAGCGCTAGCAGAGCATACCTCTCATTCTGTCATCTCCCATGGCTGAACGAGGGGGAGGGGGGGCTGTGCTGGTGCAACAAGGAAACTAGAAAAAGGACCTCTAGCATGAGAGACTAGACAACTAGTACCCCGGGTGCTGTCATTCGTCCAAGGTCCTGCTGCTGAGTAACACTGGGGCAAACGGGACAGAAGAGAGAGGGAGTAAAAAGCAGGGGTCAGAGGAGGGGGACAAAGGCAGAAAGAATGGGGTGGGGAAAGCAGAGGGTAGCAGAGGAAAGGGACAGGGAGAGTTGTGCTATTCCTCGAGAATAACTTTCCAAGATTTGAAAGACAAAGGGAGCTGAATTTCAAGCCTGCTTCAAATGAGATCTTTTCTCATTAAACCATTATGCAAGGAAGAAAACACATGTCCGTAAAGATACACTGCAGACACCTCCTTTCAGCCAAATGATCTAAGGGCATGAATGGTATCCCATATGACTCTGATCCAAAACAAATATTGTAACAAAACCAATCACTTGGCCTCTTGTTACTACAGAAATCCAAGTCGCTCCAGCTCTCTCTCCCCCTCCCCTCCTGCCTTCTTGAAGATAAAAAGAGCAATTCTAAGCAGGTCTTCTTAGAAGTAACTTCCACTTCATTCAATGGGGCTTATTCCCTGTCTTCCATTTCCCTTGCATATATGTCTTTTAAATGTAGCATATAGTAATTCATAATGGGGTGGCATAGCTCCATAGCATGCATTTTAATGGGAATTATACCTGCTTTCTTTTCTTGCAAACTTTCCCCCATGTGTGTAGCTATATCTACAGACTGAGAATTCACCACATCTGATGAAACAGATTCTAACCATGAAAGCTAAAACCACAATATGTCTGTAATTTTTTTTATGGTGGCACAAGATTTCTTTCTGGTTTTGCCACGGCAGACTAACATGGCTGTGCATCTAGAATTTGTTTCTTATAATTACTCAGTTTGTGCCAAGATTTCACTGAAGTTTAGCCCAAGAGTTTTGCTTTCAGCACAAGCTGAATTCTGGAAGAAAAATATTTCTGCCTTTTCCTCAGTTTTGAAAAATTAGTGTCCTTTTTTTATCACACACTTTAACAACTCAGTAGTATACTTAAAAGTGCAGAGGAAGCAATGGAAGACTGAAATATTTTTAAATCCCTCTGTAAATATGAAGGTAGGACAAATATCTTTCATACAAATAAAATAAGAGGCTTCATGGATCACACCAGAGGTCTCTCTAGTTCAGTGTCCTGTTTCCCAAGCTTGCCAGCCAGATATTCTGGGAAACTCATGAGGAGGGAATAAAGAAAACAACTACCCACATGCCTCTCAAAACTGGCATTCAGGAGTACAGTGCCTCTGAACATGGAGTTTCTATTTGGCTATCATACCCTAAAGGCCATTCATGGGCCTGTCCATCTCCATTCATCTGTCCAATCCCCTTTTAGAGTCTTCTGCCAAACAAGTTCACTGGGGGTACAAAATTCAGAGGGCCCAAGTCAAATGCCTGCTGGATGTCTTCACCAATCCACTCCCACCAACACAGTCTGCTGACACTCAGCTTGGCAGTGGGAGGAAAATGGCAGGGAAAATGGGGGTGGCATGATTATGCAACCCAGAAGCGGCATCGTCACACTGGGGGATGCTCTATCATTTGCCCAAAACTCTATGGATAAACTATGGGATCTTGGGTGAATGCTAGAGCATTACCCCTAGTGTGATGAAGTCACTTTCAGCTTGTGCCGTAAGTTGCCAGGGGTTCCGATTGCGCCCTACCCACATTGTAAGTCCCCACCTCCAAGGTATGCCTTCACTTCTATCTCCCCTCCCTCACATTCTAATTCTTCTGTATTTGTCTCCCCCTTTTATTTTCCACTCTCATTCCTTCTCACCCATACCCTAGGTCATGTGGAACAAGAAAAAACTAGTGAAAACAGGGCAGGACAGAAACTGGAAGCTCCTTCTCCCCCCCCCCCCCCAATTTCTCCTCACTTTGTTGAAAGTACGAGTGCCATTGAAGGTGATGTACATCTGACTGTGAGTCCAATCATGCACTGGTTACTTGCCACATGTTGGGCGTATCATGTACTTGAGACCAAAGAGGAAGCTTGGGATAGGGATGTAATTGGTTACTGTTCCATTCTAATGACACTGAATACACATTATGAAACAGGCTGAAATCCAAAAGACTGAAGAAGGAATCATTTGAGAGCCGCAGAGACTGAGAGACAGAAGCAGTAAGAAGGGAGAGGGGGAAAGTGAGGGAAGGGAGGACAATGAAGTCGAGGACTGGAGAAGGGATTGCAGAAAGAGGCCATGTATCATTAAAAGAACAGAGTAGGACAGAGGCACTAACCACAAGATTGGTGAGGTGCAAAGACGGCATGCTCAGACCAAAGAAAAGCCTTTCAAAAGGAAGACAAAAGTGAAATAACCCCCAATTTTGCTAAAGCTTTGGAGATAGAGCCAGCAGCTAAAAAAATAAAAAAGGAAAAAGAAAAAAAAATCAAAGACAAGGATCCAATCAAAGCACACTTCACGAGAAATGTGAACGGCACAGCTGCTGCATGGGGGAGCCAATTTTGTGTGACTCAAAAGACCCCCAAGAACAGTTCATAGGATTGGGGGAGAGGGCATTTCCTCATTGAGCTATTTGGTAGTTTGGCCTGTTTTGAAATCTCAAATCCCCCAAAAGGAGAAAAAAAAAGGAAGAAGCCAGCTCTTTCGGTCTGAAACTGCAGGAACTCTTCCCCCATCTCCCTCACTGGATTTTCTACGCCCTTTTCTTCCCTCTCCTGCTCCCATTTTCCTGCATCCTACTTGAAAATTAGGGGTTACTACCTCTTGCCTGAATCCCAAGGGAAGAAGCTCACTGAGGATAAAATTATGCCTGATATAAGCAGCTTCTGAGCCCTAAACTCTTGTATGTGATCCTGTGAAGGACAGAGGATTAAAAGGTAAGAAATATTTGGTCCTGCCTAAGCAGAATGGATTAAACCAATCGTCGAGCAGAGACAAAGAACAGGCAGCAGGACAGTGCCTCATTAGAGTATGTAGACATTGCCAGAACTGGCTGATTTTCCACTTCTGTACATAAGGGTGATGAGGGCGTTCTAAATTTATCACTCGCCAAATCAATTTTCAGTCTCAAAACAAGAATAAAGCCTTTAACTACCATATATGGAAATGGGGACCAGCCAGATTTACCTCCCTAGAACGATTTATCTCTAGTGAGGGTCTCTGTTGAACTGCAGTGTGGCAGAAACATCCCCATTCCCTTACCAGGCAGGACAATTAGAGCAAATGATGCTGGAAGGATGTATTAAGTGTCCTCTCAATCCTGGAGTTCCTCTTTGCAAACTAAGTCTCCATCAATGCTATGCAGAATATCCAAACTGCCAGTCTTGCACTGTATGCGATGTACTCAAGAGATGCTTGCTCTATTTCTTCCTGAATGGATTTACTTCCTACTTGTAGAACACACCGTAAATCAGCCTTTCCTATGATACTTTGTACCCTCCCTATCTCCTTTTTAAGAAGCAACTGTAATGTTCAATATCCACATGAACAATGTGGCCTCAAAAAGCAACCACTACCTTTCGTGGAAATCTCAACAAATATAACAGAATGCTGGAACTATAAGGATATTATGGACCAGTTTACTAGGAAGTTTCTATACCATGTGATTTCTAGGAAATCCTCTTGCTTCTGAGACAGTATAAACTGTATTTTTTTAAAAAAGTCTGTGCCTAGTAGAGAAACCTCATAACTGCAGAAACTTTGGTTCTGCTGACATCCACTTATTAGTGGCTGCCTCTCTAGAAACACTCTCTCATGTTTTCCTTATTGCCAGCTATCTCACTATCAGTTGATCCCTCCTCAGATGTGGTCAGACACATACTTTTTGTCCTCCTAGAATTCCTCTGTCCCTGAGTGCCTTCACATGGAAACAGTGTCAGAAAGCAGGTCTCTTATGCGAAAGAGCTAGTTCCTTCCCAGCATGCTCTCCTAAGACCTCACCAACCTTCCTACTAAACTGAACAGGGGGGAGCGGTCGTAAAATGGATCCCGGCCATCATACAGTGGGTACTCCGGAAAGATGTCTTCCTCCAGGTCCTCCTCCTCCTCCTCCTTCCCCATGTGCTGCTCGTCAGCAGGCTCGGTGATGTCGGAGTCAGGGTTCGAGAAGGTGGGGGAGGGGGTGAGATCAGCCATGCGCTCGCTCATGCATGTGTTGAAAATAGGAGAGCTGTTGCAGCCAGAGATATCTGAACTAAGGTTAGTACAACAAGATAGGAGACAGGTTAACACCAGCTATTCCAAACACACACAGAGACTAGGCTTGCTTTGCCTTTTCTGTTATACCAAGCAGCAGTGTTAATAAGGAGAGGAAGGGACAAAACCTTCCAGACTAAACACATCTAACAGAGGAGCCACCAATGCCATCAGCTGAGAACAGGGAAGATCCAATGCACGCGGTAGAAATCCCCCAAAGATCATCACTGGAACAATTATGTAGCTTTGTAAAGTAAAGTTCTTCTGGCCCACTGGCATCGCCCCATTGTAAATCTTGACAATGAGTCATATCTCAACTATACCCAAATATGTTAAAATTCAGTGGAATATCCCCATCAAACTGCTCTCCAACAATTCCCAGCTGATGACATCACATTTTTCCAGTAGTTGGATGGGAAGCACATGAGAACACACATTATATACTAGGCAGTATATAGGCAGATATTTACACTCCAAATTACACACACACATACACACACACAAATGTACAAATCCTACATCAGAGTTTCTAATCATAACCTACTCTGAAAAATATTTTTCCCCCCAGCATAGTGTTCACTCCAAACCAACTAGGAGGATCTTCTACATGGTAATATGCTAGTAAGGACTACTGGTCAGAATTCCACAGCATCCATTGGGAATGAGTCCTACCAATATAAGATGTCATGGTTACAAGAAGTAGTCCTGCTTACAGGACTACACGCTGATAGAAGCCTATACAATGTGGACTACGATGGTCCTCCTGGATCAGAGAAATTACAGGCTAAAATGTCTCTTTTGACTTTGCTGTAGGAAATTCCAGCAATCGGGGGCAGTGTTTTCAAGGGACTTTGTGTACCATGTAATTAATTGGACGTAAGGCATAATTTGCAAAAAGGTCCATGTATGTGTCAGTCTGGCAGGTAAGAAGGCACAACTCATGCTTTAAAAGAGCCCTTGCAGTGATGTAAATGGAAGTCTGCCCACTCAAGTATATAAATTTGGAGTGCAAAGAAAGCACCTTACAAAGAGTAAGGTGCTATACAGTTGTCTTGGTATATGATCTAGTCCTCCAATTCACAGGAATCTCTGCCCCACTGAGGAAACAGCAGTTGCCCTGCATGGAACCAGTTGCCTTTATTCAGCCATGCAGCATTTCCTTCCTTTTGTGTTTGTCTGGCTTAGCATGATATTTAGATGAAGGCAGATCAAAGCTCTCACCTGCCAACCAGCCTGAACCAAGGGAAGCGGTCATAGAAGGGGTCTCCGCCTGTCACCACATTGTCACAGTCTTCTATAACACTAGAGGGCACTTCAGCCGCCCGGTCATACATCTCTCGCATCAGGTCCAACCTCTGTCTGCAATGGTGGAAGGGGGGGGAAAGGTCAACACACAAAATAGTGGCTATGAGTAATGCTTTCCAGTGTTCTTTCAGTGGGAGGAGCAGCGAACACACCAGAAGATAGAGACAGAATTCAACAAGATCTGAACATGCTGGAAAAGTGGGCAGATATGAACAAGATGCAATTTAACAAGGATAAGTGCCGAGTTTATTTATTTATTTTTATTTTTGGATTTATATCCTGCCCTCCCCGAAGGCTACATCTGGGTGACAAAAATGAGGAACACACATACTGCATGGGGGATACACTTCTGAGTAGCAGTTTGTGTGAACAAGATTTTGGGGTAACGGTGGACCAAAAGTTAAATATGAACATTCAGTGTGATGCGACAACAAAAAAGACTAATGCAATCTTGGGGTGTATCAACAGAGGCATAACATCCAAATCCCAATATGTCATAGTCCTGCTGTACACTCCATTGGTCAGGCTGCACTGGAGTATTGTGTGCAATTCTGGAGGCCTTACTTCAAAAAGGATGTAGACAGAATGGAATGTTTAGTCTGGAGAAGAGGAGGTCGAGGGAGGATATGATAGCTCTCTTGAAGTATTTGAAGGGCTGTCACTTAGAGGAGGGCAGGGAGCTGTTCCTGCTGGCAGCAAATGATAGGACTTGCAATAATGGGTTAAAATTAGGGGTGGGAAGGTACCAGCTGGATATTAGGGGGGAGGGAATTTACAGTGAGAGTTGTGCAACAGTGGAATCAGCTGCCTAGGGAGGTGGTGAGCTCCCCCTCACACTGGCAGTCTTTAAGCAGCATCTGGACAAACACTTGTCAGGGATGCTCTAGGCTGATCCTGCATCGAGCAGGGGGTTGGACTAGATGGCCTGTATGGCCCCTTCCAGCTTTGTGATTCTATGATTCTACTTGCATCCACATCACTATCTTAGATGCTTGCCATGAGAGGCTGATGGTCTGCTCACTAAGGACACACTAAAAACAGGAGAAATCTCCTCCATCCCTTGGTTAGGAAAGAACCCCAAAATAATGAAGGCTACAAGTGCAGGTGCCTTTCATTCAGCATGCACACAGAAAGTATTCACATGATTGCTCTGACATGTGCAGGAACTAGATTTCAGTCTGTTGTTATGATCATCAAAACGTGAAAACATCAGTGGCATGCCAAGGCTCAGCCTAGCTTTAGCATATGCCAGCCTGATCATGTGAGATCTCTGCATAGGATTAAACAGCAATGTGGGCAATTAGGGTGGCCATCCTGGTCCACAGAAACATAGGTTAAAACATCTGTTTTGATTCTGCTGTAGAAAACACCAGCTATTTGTGGTGGCATTGACATATTTTGAACACTAAGCACAGAAGACCGGTTTTGCAATCCTGCTAACAAATCTAGAAAACATAATCCACACCTGCTTTTTCAAAATACCAGAAACTGAAGCAGCCATGTAAACAGGCCCTCAAATAACCAACACTGCAGGTTCCACCCCTCTTTGGCAATACGTCTGTATCAGAACAGTCATGACTTCTGTCAAGGTAAAGTTAAGAATGCTTTCAGCCAGGTGCTGCGGTGCTATTAAAATATCACAGTCTACCTGAGTTTCTCCAGTGTCCAGTAATGGGTTGCTCCGTTCTTCTGATCCTGCACTTCTACAGCCACAATGGTCCTTGGGAAAGGACGTTTCTCACGGTCTTTAGCAGCATCGGGAGGCAGCAAGTCCGGAGGCAGAGGGGAGTACAGAGTGTCTGTGAGAAGCACGAACTGAAACTGAACCTGGAAGTGAACAACCATGATTAATATTGATTCATGCCAGAGGTCACAACTTGGAGCATCCTATTCTCTTACACTGCAGCTATGATACCAGGAACAGCATAAAGCAAATAACAATCTTGAAAATTCACTTTTTGAACCAGGTTAGTAGAAACTGCATTTGACTGATCTCCAGTCACAGCATTTCTTATTCAGAATCTTTTTAAAAATACTTTTAAAAAGACTCAGTATTTATACAGAACTACCTTTTACCAATGCAGATATGTTGTTTGAATGATATAGTGTTCTGCTTCTTTGCTCTTCTCTGCACCAAATTTTAAAGGAGATAAATACTTGGCAGTTTAAATAACTCTGGCTCTTTTAAGACCACTAATACTATGCCAGTTATGGTAATATGATATATCTTCATAGGATCAAACAGTAATCTGGAATGGGATGGTAATCCAGGACCAGAGAGATTTTTTGATCTTGCTGTAGAAAGGTTGCAATCCTATACACATTTACTTGGGTGCAAGCCCTACTGAACATAGTTGAGACTACTTCTAAGTAAAAATGGATAGGATTGGGCTGCACATCCCTTGGCACATTCACACTACAGAGTGCCAGTTTGACCTACCTGAAATTAGTTCTTTATTAAGAACATAAGAACTCCTTTGTTGGATCAGACCAAAGTACATGCAAGTAGTATTCTCATTTTACTCACAGATCAGATGTCACTGGACATTAGCAAACAAATTGTGAAGGTGATGACTTTCCCCTATTTTTGCCCTGAGCATCTGGTAATTGCATATATTTTGGCTTGATAGACTGAGGTTCCATTTAACTATCATGGCTATTGAATGATGAATAATTTTTAAAGGATTAAATGGGAGAAGGGAGTTTCACAGTATATGGAAACAAATTCTATCATTTAATACTGCATTGGGTGAGGCAGTACACTTCATTTTGTTTGTCCTGAACCCACTGCAAGCAGTTTTATGGGGTAACCAACCTAGACCGAGGGTTGGTTCAGATGACATACAAAACAATAATATAATTAAGCTAACCATAATTTATGTTCCAAACCTGCAGCACTATCTTAACTATGGTTAGCTAGGATACCTCCAACCAGGATCTGAAGCTGGTTTAACAATCTTGCCTATAGCTCTAGCAAGTACCAATAATCAAAGCTTCATGAATGCAACCGGCCCTCCTGGCTAAAGACAATGAAATAGCCAGTTCACACCTCAGCAAGAATCTGACATCTAGAAGGGACACAGAGACTTGAGGGGGGCAAGAGTCTAGGTGGCATATTTCTAGAGATTTCAGGAAACGATTCTTTGACCCATAAAGGGGTGGGAAAATAGAAGAGATAAAATCCCTTGGCACAGAGGGAGAGGGGCAGTTTTGGCTAATTCCATCTGTCAGAAGGGGCTCTCACATCTGGACTCCATCTTGAGTTTATCAAGGGTTATCTTTGTCCAGACAGCAGACAAAGGACTGGCTGTCTGGACAAAGACTCCAAGGTAATAGGAAGCTTTTAAATAGGCTGCCTTAGAATAAGACCAGCTAGGGCATGTATAGAGTTAAGGAACAGAGGGATGTGTGTTCATTCATTTTCTTTGTCTTCCTTTGCTTAATCCATTGCAGTGCAGAGCAAGTGTTTGAATTTTTTTCTTTTAATAAATTCTTTACTATTTTAAGTGCTGGTAGCTGTTCTCCAGATTGCGTTTCACAGATTACAGCAAAGCTTTTGACATGAAAAGCTATGGCCAGTCTGGCAAAGAACAATAGAGGGAAAACTCCAGGAGATTGGCCTTTCCCCCCAAGTCTTATTGTGCCTTGGCCACCAAAAAGCAAAAGAGTTAAATGGCATCTCTTGGGTCAAGCTCTAAAATCGGACAGAGCACAGACACAGAAACATCCAATTATTACCCAGTATACTAAATGTTTTCAACCAGCAGATTACCTCAGATCCCTCATGATCTGCAAATATCAGAGAATCTTTACCCTTGCACACCTTTTGGAAGACATTAATTCATACGGTCGCCATAAGTTGAAAGTGACTTGACAGCACTTAACACACACAGTTGTTCTCAGTATCACTTAGGCCTTGACTCTTTGAACATGCTTTTCAAAATGGGCACCAGACAGCTGGTTGATACATCCCCAGTTCCCCAAGCATGTGCAAGTGTGATAAACTTCGGGGAGGGCGGGATACAAATCCATAAATAAATAAATAAATAAATAAATAAATAAATCTGTCCTCCTGGTATCCAGTTGATGGGAAATGTGAAATGCAGGCACTAGGTGGAGCCTTTTATCATAGAAGGGAAGCTAGGAGTGCTGGCCCTTTTGGCAAGTAATTGCCAAAATGACCAGCTGGTGGGAGTGTACCAAAGGAGAAGGGAGAGATAAACCCCTCCCAGGGTCAGTCAGGCTGAGGAAGGAGTGCATCAAAGGAGGCAAAAGTGCTTTGGCGGTCAGCGTTGCCATTGTACCACAACAGCCTTACAGTCTACAGTCCCCTTCCCTTCACAAAGAGCCTTCCTGAACCATCATGTATGGCCCTACATCCTTTACAGAAAACCACTCCTGATGATTACATACTGTGTACAAATGCAGTATTCCAGCTTAAACCCATTCCCCCCCCCCACTGATGCTCTGCAGCCACCCCACCTACAGAATTGCCTTGCAAGTGCAGCTCAAAAATGAAACCACTCTTGCCCTGACCTGGATAGCCCAGGCAAACATCTCATCAGATCTCGGAAGCTAAGCAGGGCTGATCCTGGCAAGTACTTGGAAGGGCAACCTCCAAGGAATCCCAGGGCTTGGGATGCAGAGGCAGGATATCAAGCCACCTCTCTGAAACATCCTAGCCCCACTAGAGATAGCCAGGAGTCAATTCTAGGCTTGCAAGCACACACACACACACACACACACACACACAGAAAATACTCACCCCATAAATAAATAAATACATACATAAATAAATACATAAATAAATACCACTCTTGTCTTCAGCCAGCTCTTGTTATCACCAAGCCTCTACCTGCTCTCAGCTCTGCCTGGTAACAGACTCCTCCCTCCACTCCTCCCTCCAGTCTCTTATCAACTCCTTCTGTGCATCCCACAAGGAAAAGAGAGCAGCACCAGTGTGCTGTCCAGGCTATCTTGATTGCCTGTGTTCCAGCAACAACATGCTTTTCACAGGCACCCTGTTTACTTCAATTGCACAGAAACAACAGGCTCCGGAGGGGGCTGGATGAATGGAAAGAAAGCAACCGTGCTGTTACTCTGCATGAACCCCACTTAAGGCTCACTGCTGCCTTGTCTTTGGAGATAAGCTGTGTTTCCTGCAGAAAAGTTAGCTAACACGACTCCTTTTTCACCTGTTCTATCTAAGCAGAGTAGGTTAGCAGCAGGGTATCTGGCATGGAAAAGAGAAACAGCAATGCAAGCGGAATCCTAGTTCCACTAACTAATCACAATTAATATAAACCATGGTTTAGTTGTTATGTCTGAACTGACTCGGACAGTAAAAATGTCTGCATTCCCACTCTCTCCACATCATATGCTACTGTCTATCTTCCTCTCTTTTGCCTTTCTAAATGCATATTCTAATACCTAATGTGTAATATAATTGTAGTTGAGTACCAATGTGGTACAGTGGGCTAAAATGGATAAAATGGGGAAGCAGAGAAACAGGTACATTAGCCTGAGCACCTTGGAGAAAGGGCAGGATAAAAATGGATGGATGGAATACAACAGTCTGACCCCCATCACATTCTATGTTATACTAATAAATAGCCAGAGAATGAAAATGGAAAGAGCCCCTTATTCACAATGGCTGTGAAAGAAAAAGCGCACCTTCTTCTTCAGTTCCACACTGATGGCATTGGCCTCCTTCAGGAAAATGGCATTGCCCCACAGCAGATCTCGCAGAGATGTAAACTGGTACCATTTCCACTTCCTGAAAGCCCAGAGTGCCAGCTCAAACTCCCGCTCAGTCCATTGTACTGGTGACAGAGAATGCATAAGGTCACTGTCTTCAAAAAGCAAGTCACAGTACACAGCTCACAACATTTTCTGCTCGAAGAAAACAGGTACATTAGAAGAGAACGAAATTAAGATTGGCCCTTGGCTTTAAAACATACATTATGAACTACTGAATGCCCTCCATTTTTTCCTATTTTGAACAAAAATGCTCAAATGACTGGCTTAGGATCCGATCAGACAACGCTTTAGATCCGTGCGAGGCACAAGTGCCTCATGGATTTAAATGTAATGTCCAGACATCAACATCTGGGAAACATCCGTCTTCCATGAGCATCCCGTTCTGCCACACTTCGGAGCCGTACTAAAAAGGTACTACTTCAAATCTGGAGTTTTCGGTTCCCGACGGGCCATTCGAGGACTTTTCCCATCTGATCATTCCAGCACGCAATTAAATCTTGATTCTGCACGTGCGCAGATAAACAAGGCCGCAATATCACACCTATGCGCATGTGCAAATTTTTTTTTTTTAAAAAAAACCCACCGTAAGTGCCTCTTTCAGTGGACGCCGTCTAGACAATCCACAGCAGAAGCAGCGCGTGGTAAGGCGATTCCCCCGGGGGGAATCTGGTCGTGCGAGGATGGATTAAAAAGATCGGGATCAAATGTGAGCCAGCATAATGGCGGAATTAGCTGCCCATCTGAACACACCCTTAGACCTAGGCTAAATGTTTCCACAGGCACAAGGATTTCTTCTTATGAAGCACAATTTTCTTGCTTCCCACAACAGCCTGAAATGCCCCCTGAATCCTTTCCTGGAAGAGGGCCTTTGGAAGAGGGCCTTCCCGTAAATCAAGATTTCAGAGGACATTTCGCAGTGCTCTGAGAGGGGGGAGGCAGGAAAATCACAGGCGCTTTCACACATACTAAATAATCCAGTTTCAACGCACTTTGCAACTGGATTTTGCTGTGTGAAATGACAAAATCTACTTGCAAATGGTCGGTGAAATGCATTGAAACTGCATTATTTAGCATGTGAAAACGACACTACGGTCTGAGCAAAAAACCTAAATAATAATTGAGATAAATCTCTCAATAAACCATCTTTTCTAATTGGGTATTTTCCCAGTGACCATCTATCATTGCAAAGCCCCAGCTTGCTCGCAAGACCCTGTGTCAAGAAACTGGACTTGTTTAACAATTTCTTGATCTTTCAAACTTGGATCAGGATTTTGGGCCTAGTTAGATTACTGAAGGCCCCTCGCTGGGCAGTAAATGTCACAATTACTTGCAGTTTCAGAGAGAGAGAGAGAGATAAAGGATGAGATAGAGTTAGATATAGGTGCAAGTGAGATCACAGGTCTAAGGGCTTCAAGGCCAGAGACCAAGAGAGAGTTCCATACTCACATTCCATCTCATTAGAGCAAGAAACCCTGGGCACGGGAAAGTTGCTTGACTGTAAATAAGTATCAGCTGCAGAGGTAGGTGGTCACACATCTTAGCAACGCACCTGATTGGCCAACATTATCAGGCCAGCTGCAGGCAGTGTGGCATAAAGCAAGACCATTCATGCTGCTTCTAGCCTTCTTTTCTAGCCCATTCTCACCTAGGGTTGCCAGAACCCCCCCCCCAACAGTGGAGGTGGGGGTCCCTCACTGCCAGACCCTACCACCCAGCTGCCGATCAACTGGCTCATGGGGGGACTTACCAGTAGAAAGAAGAAGGCCTAGGCCATGTTGCCAGTGTCACACAGGAAGTGATGGCATCACACCAGCAACTTCCGGGTGATGCTCTGGTACCTGGACAAAAACTCTGTGGTAGAAGTCGGTTATACTATAGTGTTTTTGCCCAAATACCAGAGTGCTGTCTGGAAGTCACCGGTATGATGATGTCACTTCCTGTACAACACCAGTGACGTGGCCTAGGCCTCCCTTTTTCTACTGGTAAGTCCCCCCATCCCCTGCTGGCTACCAGGAAGGACCTGGCAACCGTAGTTGGACCTTGAACAGCTGGAACACTTACTCTGGGATTTTTGACTTAAGAGTTCTACCTGGACTTTCTATGTTCAGTCTGGCCAGGTAACATCTGGATCAGATGACTTAAAGCCTGATTAAGTATTGTAGGCCCCTGCCACACGGGCAGGAAACTGCAGAGGAGAAGTGTGGCTGTTTGCCCCGGGGCAAACTAACATGCAGTAAAGCGATCAGACCTACTGTGGAGGTTCTGTGGAGGTACTGTGGAGGTTCCATGGCAAGGGAGAGGTGCCGATCACAACACATGCCTGCGCGCAATGAAGAAGCGCGCGGCGCGGCGAACTGGTTTTCTTTTTTTGTGTACACTACGAATGCACATGCTCCGTTGGGTGCGTGTGCGCATCCACGGAGACGTGGGGGAAAAAAAACCCTTTTCCGCAAGGGGACATGGGCGGGCGCCGGATACCACCGGAAACGCGATCAGACGCCCGCCCTTGCCCCGCAGTTTCTGGAAACTAGTACCTCCAAGGTACTAGTTTTTTGCTGCGCTTTTTCGGCAGGAAGCCTCAGTTGTGCCACGGAAGCACTACGCTTCCCAGATGTGCTGGTGAGATCGCGACCGGAAACTCCGCTTGTCTTCCGTATCTCTTGCGTGGCTAATGTTGCGTGTGACCGCAGCCCTAGGTTAGCTATTGAGTTTTATAATTTTCCCCATTTTTGCACTGCTCTTATATTTGTGTGTGTATGTCCTTGGATGTGTGTACTTTGTACCTGAATACAAATCATTACATGCCAGGATGCCCGTAACTTAATTTTCCTTTCACAGAATTCATACCTTCATCTTCAGGCTCTTCCTCTTCCTCATTAGCTTCAGGGTAATATCTTGATTCCATCTGTTTCTGTAAAGCCTCCAATTTACTCTCATAATCCTGAAGGTATAAGAAGTTAAGCATTTTTATCATCTTCTTTGTGGTTGCTGTGCTTTGATGCTAAATTTTTTTGTTAGCATGAATTCATTCCCTGAAGTAATCTATGTAATCCTTCTATTTTCTTGGTAACAACCCATTCAGTTTACTGGACTACAGAGTTTCATGAGATCATCCTCCATACAGCCTATGGCAACACTTCCAGTCTTAAACTGTGTGGGATATTAAATGGGGAATATGAAAGGTCCTTGCCCTTTGCCATGGTTCATTTTATGAAACTGTATAAGGATTTGCTTTTTATCCCTCTTGGAAATGAAGTAGGGTGTTTGGAAGGTCTGCCCCATTTTGGAACTAATGATCTCTTCTATCATTTACAAGCATTGCTATCTGCATATTGCTGCTCTGATGAGCTACATTAAAATGCATTATTTCTGCTACATACAAGCCTTTGCTGCTCCAGAAGATAATTAGCTTCCTCTCTTTCCTTTCGATATTGATCTTCCAATTCCTGAAGCCTACATGGAAACAGAAATGAGAAAATAATACATCGGTATGGATAAATTACAGAGGACTTCATTCTCTATTCTCTGCTACTTTATCTCAAACTTCCTTTGTATTCTCCATCCCTGCCCTAGAACGCTTCCACACTTTTTATTCTACACACCTCTGCTCCATCTCCTGCTTCATGTCAATGCCTTGTTTCTCCAA